GGTGGGGGCACGTTTCCACCTGCCACACCTCCAGGACATGTGCTCCACCACACCACTGCTCTCGTGGGAGCCACGGGGCCGGGGCCGCGGGGCGGGGGCCGCAGGCCAGGGCTGGGACAGAGCTGCCCCGCCCCAGGACACCTCGTCTTGTGGCAGGAACACAGAGCACCACGTACATAGGAGCTGGGGTGCAAATGCATCCCCCACATTTCACGTGTGGACCCACAGAAACGGGATGAGGAGGACAAGCACTCAAAGTAGGGCATTCGCAGAGCTCAGGGACTGGGAGGTTAAGGCGGGGCCCAGGACTGAGCCCTGGAGCTCACAGGAGGCACCACAACCAGGACTCGCTCCACTCCTGCCTGCTCCCATTTCACCCTCCCGCCACCCTGCAAGTTACCCCACCCTCTGCGTCTGTTACTCCGCAGCTGCCAGGCCCTCAGCCAACTGCACAGCAATGTGTCCCTGCACAAAGGCGTCATTCCGACAGGAGCACAGGCCACAGGCCTTACAGTCCCACTGCAAAATGGAGGCTAAGGAGAAGGATCCCACCGGGCCCACTCCACGGTTCGAGTCCCATCTCGGTGGCTTGAAATACACTCTGAGTGCATGTGTGTGCATGCCCAAGGTCACAAGGGGGGAGTGGAGAAAAAGGGACTGTGGCGTGCCCATTCCCAGGGGAGAGATTTCTCACTTTCCCTCTCTGTTTCTCTCTCTGAAAGTGCGTGCACCCTATGGCAAAATTTTTTAATATAGTTAAACTTCAGGGACCAGCAGGTGGTATGGTGGTTAAGGTGCTGGACACTCCCACATGGCTGACCACAGTTCGAGTACTGGGCCTGGCAGCTTGCTTTCTCACTTTCCCTGTTTGTGTATGTGTGGGTGTGGGTGTGTGTGGGGGGGAGGCTCAAATTAAAATAAAAGGAATGAATAAATAAAATTAAATAATTCTTTAAATATATATATATATACATACATACATATACATATATACGTAGTCAAACTTCAAGCAACACCGATGCCGTCTGGTGCCACACCCAGGACACAGAGAGTGATCTGGAGACGAGGCTCGTGTGTGTTTAAGCCCCAGCACCGCCCACGTGCCACGTAACGGCTTAGGGCCAGCGTCCTCACCTATCGAAGGGGCAATGATACCTGTTGTCAACTGAGGCCTTCAGACCCCAGGACCTCCGCAGCCAGCTCACCCCTTCCATGTCCCAGGAACGGGCCTTGTCCACTGTGACCTGCGGGGCTCGGGGCCTGTGTGTCCCTCTTGGTGCCAGCACTTCCCAGGGAGCCTGCCACGGCGGAATCCACACAGAACCCCCCACGGACGGCTGCTGAGGAGCTGCACACACACAAGCGTACCAGGGACCAGGGAAGCTCCAAGGAGGGAACAAACATGCTGCTCAGAGAAGCTGGGTGCCCGGGGCCACCCTGTGGCCAGTGCTAAGGGAGCCAGCTTCCACATGGCTCACTGGGGCTCCGATCCTGCCCTGGTGGCATGAAAAACACACCAAGCACGTGTGTACACATGACCCAAACGCCAATGGGCAGGAGTGGGAAGGGGATTGCAGATGATCCCCAGGGCTGCTTCCTCCCGCCTGTCTCTCTGGCAAACACACACATCCTTTAACAACCTTTTTTCAAAAACAAAAAAACAGGGGCCAGCAGATGACGTGATGGTTATGTCACTGGACTCCCACGAAGTTGACCACAGTTCGTGTCCCGGACCCGGCAGCTTAAAATTCATGTCAGGTGAGACCCGCAGTTGGTGTAATGGCTACGTCGCAGGACTCCCATGTAGTTGTCCGTAGTTTGAGTCCTGGACCTGGTGGCTTAAACTCATGCTGGACACATATGCGTGCATGCCCAAGATCCCAAGAGGAGAATGGAGAAGGGATTGTGGTGTGGCCATCCCCACTGGGGGGCAATTTTTTGCTTTTTGTCTCTCTGTCTTTCTGGCAAGAGCACGTGCCCTATAGCAAAAAAAAAAAAGAACTCAGGTCAGGTGTGTGCGTGCCCAAGGTCCAAAGAGGAGAAGGGATTGCAGCATTGCCATCCCCCAGGGGGTGAGTCTCACTTTCTGTCTCTGTTTCTCTGTTTTCCAGTGAGCCCTGGTGCCCTATAGCAAAAAAGACTCTAAAAAAAATAATGATGAAGGAAAACAGAGCAAAGCAAGAAGCTGCGTCCACTTGGTGACTGCAGTTCGAACCCGGCCCACCAGCCTGAAACACCGCAGGCCACACACAAGGGCTGGGCCCCAACGGGCCTGAAGGAGGGGCATCGGGCACAAGCAGCCCACGCAGGCCGCTCCCTCCACCCCTCTCACCTGCACCTGCTCCACCGTGAGTACGGGGAGCGGTAACCGGAAATACCGAGTGGAAGGACACCGGGGATGACAACACAGAATACTTTCACAGAGGCCTGCAGTGTACCCACCCCCAGTCTGTGTACAGAAAGAGGTCAGAGGGGGTGACAGGAGGCAGGGACGCCGGTGAACACCGGCAACTGCCAAGGCTCCTGGTGATAACAGGCTTTTTGGAAAATGCTGGAACCAAGGCCCGTCCCTATGGCATTGCAGGGGCAAAATGCTGGGCTCACTCCCCCTCCAGGGCCTCCCTGCAGGGAGCAGTTTGGTGACTGTTTTGGTGACATGATAGGCACGTGGGCGCCGGGAAGATGGTACCGGGAACCAGAGTGAAGGGAACACCCCCTGCACGGGGGCAGGGTGGGGAGGGCGGCTGTCCTCACAGCAGGTCCTCTGGCCCTCAGGGGTAGACAAGGGTGCTGTTTGTGAAAACAGAGGATTCCTGTCTACACCCCTCCCCAAGAGAAAAGCAGCATTGCATGAGCGCACGGGACAGAGTCAGAGAAGATATTTGGCGCTGTGCACCTCGTCTCCTGAACGTGACCCTTGGCTCCAGGTTTGCCCCCTCAGCCTAGTCCCCACATGGGGACTTCACCCCCGGCTTCCTCACACCGCAGGGAACAGCGCTGACCACCCAGCGACATGACGCCAGGATGGGCGCTGGCAGGTGGTGACGTGGCGTGTGCTGACCCTGCTCCACTCAGGAGCCAGACCTGCCGGCCACGGCTTCCGCCCGCCGCCACCCCTCCTCGTCCGCACTGTCCGCACGCTTCGATGGGCTGGTGCCTCTAACCTCTACCACAAGTGCTGTCGTAACTTCTCTCGGTGGCTGTGTGGACAAGGCTGTCCCCAGGCTTCAGCTGCGGGGACTACGGTTAAACACTGAGAATACTTATTTGTAAAGGCCTGGACACACATCACCAGTTAGCTGCCGAAGTGACCATGCCTTGCTGGCAAATGACAGTGACACTTGGCTCTACCCTAACGGCCTGGAAGACTGTCCCAGTCCTACCTTAATGCCACGCCCCATGTGGTCCTGCTACCGGTGGACACCTGGACCACTCCCGACAGCCTCACACACCACCTTCCGATGCCGAGCACCACGAACGTCTCTGCAGCCTCCATGGCGTCTCCAAGGGGTGTACAGCAGCAGCGACCCCCAGCTGAGCACGAGGGCAACGTCCAGCAGGGTGATGCCGGCTCAAGGTCGAGGTGGGAGCTGAGGCCTGAGCTGCCCAGAGCTCGCGAGCAGCCAAACGGCCGGGAGCACAGCCCTGTAGCTCACAGGGACTGAACGGCAGTGCCCACCTAGAGCACGGTGACAGTGGGACTGTGACCTCGGTGGGGCTCAGCTAGCGACTGTCCAAGCAAAGAAAGCGGCCACCTGCCAGCCCAGGTGGAAGGGTGGGACTGGTCATCACTCACGCAGTCACCTGCACGGCCACAGAGCCCAGACACGCCACGAGAGGAGAGCTCAGCGGAGGGCAGACAGCTGCTGGACTCAGCCCGACGTGTAGTTGGGAAATCTCACTGCTTTGAAACGATATATTTAAATCCAATGAAAGTTTTATTTTGTTTGTGTGGCATTAATTTTTCTCTCGAATGTTGCTTGAAAAATCAAGAGCAAAATGGTTATAAGCCAAGAATAGACTCGGTAATTAGCATGTACACATTCATCAAGAATAGTTACCTGATTATCATATTTAAGAGACTGCGTCCCAACCAAAAACCGGACGGCATCTGTTTCTGCAGTTTGAGGTGTTAAAGCACGTGCCTGCAGGAGGGAAAGAAAATGCATACACACTTATGAAGTTTAATAGACAGAGATTAAAAAGGCAGTTTATCTCATTTACTGTTGATGAAGTATAAATTAGTACGATATGGGGAAGGCAATTTAGAAATTTATATAAAAGCTTTAAACTTTTGCACACTTTTAAAACAATTCCACTTCAAATCTGCATATGGAAATAACTGCATGTGTGCACAAAAATTAAGCAATAAAGATGTGAATTATTTACACAGCAAGAGTTAAATCATCTTTTAAATAAAACCACAATTCCAAGAGTAATAGGTAGGTCAGACAAATCACACTTCATCAGAAAGTGGCTTCTTACAATAGTGGAGGAGATGATGGACAACTGTTCTGCAGAGAATAACTAGAAAAATTAAACAACTGGGGCTGGCAGGTGGTGTGGTGGTTAAGGCGCTGGACTCCCACATGGCCAACCACAGTTCAAGTTCAGACTGGCGACTAGCTTTCTTACTTTCTCTCTCTCTCTTTCTCTCTGTCCCTCTCTGGTCAAATTAAAATAAGTACAATAAATAAAATAAGGAAAGTTAAATAAAGTAATTCTTTAACACAAACAAAAGAAGAAACAAAGTACTCTGTGTCCGGGGCTCAGAGACGCTCCACTGGGGGTAAAAGACACCACAGTTCAGGAAAGGAAAGAAGCCCGACTCTGGCCTCCTTTCACCACAGCTGGCGTTGGTCTGGCAGGCTAACGGGCTGATGTTGAGGACAGCTAGGACAGACAAGGAGCTGGGGAGGCCAGAAAAACACTCGTACCACAGGGTGACAGCCCAGGAGGGGTAAGCCAGAGGGAAGGTCACCATTGCGTGGACCAAACCTCGCGGTCACCCCATCCCTGATGAGATTAAGGTGCCCTGACCAGTGAGCACTCCAGAAGCCAGGGCCTGCCAGGGGCCAGAATTCCTCCCGAGGAAGAGAACATCCAGCTGCTCAAACTTTTCACACAGTGTCCAACATTCAGTTGAAAATACTAAGTCATGCAAGAAGAGAAAACCTATTATCAAAAACCAAAAGAAACATCTAAGCGCAATAGGCTTCAATCAGCCGCCCTCGGAAACAGGCTCTAAAACCCTGAGGCATGTGTCCTGCAGTCACGCTAGAGTGCTCTCCATAAGAGGTGAGCCCCGGTTCTGTCCCAGTTTAGCCCCAGTTCTGCCCCAGTTCTGTCCCAGTTCAGCCCCGGTTCTGCCCCGGTTCTGTCCCAGTTCAGCCCCGGTTCTGCCCCGGTTCTGCCCCGGGTTCTGTCCCAGTTCAGCCCCGGTTCTTCTCCGGTGCTGCCCCGGTTCTACCCTGGTTCTGCCCCTGTCCTGTCCCAGATCTACTCCCGCTTCTCCAGCCCACACCTCCCGCCCAGGCGAGCTCCCATCCTCTGCGAGTGACCGGCATGAACAGGCGGACGTACCCGTGTCCAGACCCCGGCACTCTGCCCACAGGAACCAACGTGGTGCCCCAGGCCTGCCGCCCAGCCAGGTGTCCTATGGGACCCGGCAGCTGCCCCGTCACTCATGCCCCACGGGTCCCCGAGCTCGCCGTCTCGTCCCCGCCTCATTCCTTGCCACCCTATGTCTTGCCAACACCATCCCTGCTTTTCCTGACAGGAGCCTATGCCTGGTTGCCCTCAACCTCACCACAAAAGCTACTTCTGACACCGACCCTGGGCTCGGATGTCCGGGCGGCGGGCTGAGACCCTCAGGCTCGGGGGCATCACACGGCAGGAGCAATGCAGAGGTAGGTAAGCTCTGCCTCAGTGGCGCAGGGCGTCTCACCCGGAGCACCAGAAAGAGACAGAGGCCGCCAGAGGCTGGGCAGGGGGCTGAGGCCAGACCTGCAGGACGCTGGAGCTGACAGAGGCGAGCACAGGCCCGGCCTGGGGACCGGGAGGCAGGGCAGAGGAGTGAGGCCTCCCACAGGCAGTCGCACCTGCTAATCTCCTTCGGCTCGGGATGGGTGACAGCTACAGGCGTTTATTCACCAACAAAACCCTGAGTCACGGTGCTCCTGCCAGCCGGGACCCGGCCTGGACAATCCTGCTACTCGGCCATGGATCCCACATAGCTCACTGTGTGGTTCAAGCCCCAGCCCCAGCAGCTAGAAGAACATGCCAAGCGTGTGTGCATGCATGCCTGAAATGCCGACAGGAAGGGGAGGCAGAGGAAAAGGACTGCAGCGCGGCCTTCACGATGCAGGTGTCTCTCACCCACCCGCGCTGCGCTCCCTCACGGCCTCTCGCCCTCTCCAGGGAGTACACGCACCCGCAGTAAAATTAAAAGAAAAGAAAGGATTGATAGGTGCTCAGACCAGTCACCAACCAGGCTGCACGGCACTTACGGAGCTGCAGAGAGCTGTGTCAAGACTCATCGATAAGACGAATGAAAAGCTACAGAAATGGAAACAAGACATATTGAACAACCACAGAAAGCACAGGAAGTTGCTCTGGAATCAAGTACAGCCCTGTCTTAGTCCATGCTCACATTGCTAACGCTAACAGGGTGACTTGTAGGGACAATACA